TGCAAAATGTTTTAATTCCCAGGATCCATGTGAGTAGAGAGTGCAACACTGTTCCTTGCAGCCGAGGGGGAGGTCCTCTCTTGTCGGGCAGTGTTTGATCATTATGGGCTAAGAGGTTAAGTGTAAGACCATTGAGAGTAATACCTGATGGGCTAATCTTGCATCTGCCCATAGTCCTTGGGTTTTTATAAGGTGGCTTAACCCAAGGACCACTTAGTGTAAGTGTTGGGCCCATTAAAAGCCCATGGTGATGGGCTCGGGGTTCACTGTCTCTTATAGTGAATTCAACTAGGCCTTGTAATAGAGGTTGGGTTGAACCCATGTGGCTGATGTGTAGATCAATGTTTGGGTCCCACACCATACAAGGAAACCCAACTGGGCAACAGTTTGGAGGCTGAATGAGCACATAGACTTAATGGGCCTAAAGCCCAATTCGAACTGGTTTAATTTGATTAATTAAAGAGGGGCAGATCTGGGATTTAGATCAGCAGATAGGATGGAGAGTTATCCCTATCCACTCAGAGAGTCCAGATCCAAATAAAGATTTGGATTTGAAAACTCCTAATAAAATTAGGAGGGCTGATCTTTATCTGCAGATAAGATAAGGGATTATCCTTATCTTTTAAAGAGAATCCAGATCCAAATACAAGATTTGGATTAGGAAACTCCTAATGGGATTAGGAGGACCTTTCTTTAAGGCTATAAATAGAGGAGGGCGAACCCCAATTCACCCCAAGCTGATTACAGATCCAAGAGAGAAGACAACTCCAGTAAGACTGATGCCATCTTCTGCTCTTGCCTCCCTCTATTGTTGCTGCCATTGCCAATTTGTTCTCCACTTGTAGAAGCAATCAAGAAGCATTCTTGATATCAATCCAAAAATTGATATGAAGTCATGCTCACTCACCCTCCATCGAATTCTTGCTGAAGAGTTCGGTTCTTGCTGAAGAACCACCTACTGATTCTACTCCACCCTACGCTGTATCATCTTTAGTGGGAGCAGTCTTTGGCGTTTTCCTTGGGCGTGAACACCTTCGTTGGGAGTTACTGCTACTCTGTATCAGGTATATCCCTCTCCTACCTTTTGGTTTCAAATCTGGTCCGGTTTAGGTTTAAGATTGATCATTGAAAATGCAGATTTTCTAAAATAGGGAATGTGATTCCCACATGGGAGAGAGAAATTTTTGAAATTTCGCCCTACCTACTTGTAGGGTTCGGCTATCCATATGATGGATCATCCCTTCAAAAAGACCATTATTAATGTAACATCAATAAAAAGATAGTTTATAAGTTAATAAACCATTACAAAGTTGTGAACACACACAAAAAATAAATAAATAAATAAAACAAAAATGACAAATTAGAAAAAAAACATACATAGGTGAAGATGCATACCTGGCTTCGGGTGAGGCACATGCCATGAAATGCACCTGCCTGTCTGCCTAGATGCACCTCCTAAAATCTCTTTATATCTCTACTTTTTCCTTAAAAAATTCTTCTATTGGGGAATCTCTTTTTCTTTTGCTATAAAAAAGGCTCTAGAGATTCCCTTTAGACAAAAAGCATTATGGTTATGGCATGTGGAAAGAGAGGGTTTGAGGGAAAGTCCTCGTTTCAGAGGGGGGGGGGGAGAATATCTCATCTCGTTCAAGGATGTTGTAGTTCAAAGAAGCTGGCAGGAATATGGGAGTTACAGCTTCAAAAAAGGTGAAAGGACATTCTGGATAGAAACCTCTGCAAAGGAGGTCGATGACAGGAAAAGGTTTTTGGGAGAATGTCTAGTAGGCAGATACACCAAAGAAACTCCTCCATTGGAGTTGGTGGAAAGGTGGTCAGATGGTCGGAGGCAGAATGGAATCCATTGGGGGGACTGAAGATAAAGAAGTTGATTCGAGGGCTTTTCCTTTTCATTTTTTCTTGTGAAGATGAGGCTAAGCGTATACTTGAAAAGAAGGATTACTGGGCGGAAAACCATTCTGCTGGATTGGTGGAGGGCTTACAATAGGCTGCTATACTAATGAACCCACAGCCAAGATGGAAAGGGAGGATAATGTTTGGATCCAAATCTTTGGTCTCCTGTTTGTAGTTGTGCTGCCAGGAGTAATAGAAGCTATCGAAGATTACTGTGGTGGTTTATGCAAACGGATGACTCAGTTTCAGAGTTGGCCACATGCGAGTGGGTGAGAATCTAGGTGCAGTGGAAACGGATCATTCTGGCAACAGTTGGTATAGCAGTGAGGGTATTATATATAGTCACAAACTCACAATCTGGCCCGAACTCATTGCTGCAGCTTGTCCTCTTTTGTTGAGGTTAAAGAATGCCAAGACAACCACAAGGGAAGAGATTATAAAAAGTTATGAAGTAGGAGAAATGGATGAGTTTACAAATGGGTTGGCAGCATTGAAAAGTAAACTGGAGAGTTTGCAAAAGGAAGCTAAACTGCAGGGGACGAACCTGCCAAAATCTACAGTTGCAGATATTTCAGAGAGAATTCCAACAGGCTGATTGAGGAAGATGAATGACAGCTGTCAGATCTTAACAGGGATAAAAAAGGGATCAGTTGATGGCCATCTGATTGCTAAGGTGGTCTTACTTGATCAAATAGATGAGTCCGTAACTCAAGTTTCAAATTCAAAGGGGGCTGATACATGGCAGGGTTCTATACAACAGTTAAAAAGTTAATAAAGGAGTGTCTGGCAGAGGTGGGGGAGTCTGCGGTGCGTGTCGTTGGGCCTAGTTGCCAAGAATGACCAGACGTGGGTATACTCGAGAAAAAGAGCCAGGAGGAATCGGAGGGTCAACCAGAAAAACCAGACCCAAACTGGTGAAGACCCTAAAAAATATTAGACCATCTAACCTACCCAAGCAAAGAAGGCATAACCCAGTACTCAGGGGGATCAAGTTTGAGGAGAAAGAAAGAGAAGATTGGCAGTGGAGATCTAAAGCAGCAGTAATGGAGGTGAAAGGCAAGGTGATAGTGGAGGATGATGCAAGTTCCTCGGGAATCTCATGTCTAGCAGGTTTGTATGGTAGACCAGAGTTTAAGGGCAGTCCCAGTCAACCATCTGCAAAGGGAGATGATGTTCTGGTTGAAAGGAGAGAGGTAGGAACACCAACAACAGCAAATATTCCAAGGTCTCCACTCTCCACGGTGACGACATGACACCACTATAGGTTGTGCACTTGAGCTTCCTGAGGACCAGGTGGAAGACAGGCACTTGGTGGAGGCTGTTCCTATGGAAGATGCGGAGATTCAGGTTGGTGAACAGTTAGGGGAGGAAATCCAGGGGCCATAGGCAGATAGCATGCCCACAGAAACAAAAAAAGGGGGTAGACCCTCTTCCAACCAGACAAGAAACAGAGGTGATGTTGCACTGGGTGTTGTCCAAGTAGTATGTAACTTAAGTTGGTGA